ATCCATCTAAGCGTAAGGGAGATAGAGTTAAGAAGATTATGGGAATTCTGCAGCATGTTGCCCTTTTAGCTAATTTTGAACAGCCTTATCAGGTTTTCAATCTGGAGCAGGTTCTTGGTTCAGGCATGACTCTCAAGTTTCCTATGCAAGATTTCTTACGGCACAGTCAGCGTGCTGGATGTTAATTATGACTTCATGATTTCATTTGATTGAATTATCTGACCTTGGTGGTCTAATCAAGGGTTGGGAGGCTGAGCGGACTGAAATAATCGAATTGACTTAGAGGAACATCAGTTTGGAGTATATCCATTTGTCAAATTCTCGGTGAAGTTGCCGCGATGTAACATTTGGTTTATGGATACACTGGTTTCGCTCAACGCCGTCTGTTCTACCTGATCACACGTTGACGTTTCAATTCTCTGATCAACGTATTCCGCCGACCTACTAAAGATTAGGCATTTAAATCTTGTGATCAGTCAAATTCTTTGTTTTCAGCAGAGCCCCTGTTACGTCAGTAAAGTCTTCTCGCGATTCATTAAGACAGTTAACTGTCCCTCCTCAGCGGCACAATTATAAATTGTTCAGCCGTCCTTAGTTCCTGTAGAGCCTTTTATATACTGTTGACGGACTCCCGTGCGAATTCGAAATCTCAGAGAAATAAATAAATTGTGATGGCGATCGAGCAGCGTTTGTCCTCCCTATTTATAAATACAAATGGAATGCGACCATTCGCCCCTCTACTCAGAGAATGCCGCTGCAAGAATGTGATCATGGCGTCAAATATGGGCAACTGACACCGCTCTCGCCTAATTTTATTGTTTTCTAAAACTCCATGGACGAATTGTTCCGTTACGGCCCTAATAGGCCGTTCCATCTATAATAAAACAAAGTAGATGTACGGCGCAATGCGATTACCTCAGTTTGGTCAGCATCTTAATTTCTCTTCGGATTCCGAAGTCGGAGGACTGGTTGTAGTCGGCTCCGACGACCACCAGTGCACCGCTTATTGATACCGTCTTTCTCTCTATCTAAAACTCCCCGTAAAGTTGCCGATGAGCTCGCTCGAAAAACGGCCCTAACCTGTTGGGAGTTCAAAGCTAATCGTCACCGTGTCCTTTGCTAATGGGCTGCAAGCGACAGAGCAAAGGCGCACACATACGACGGGGGCTAAGAATATCAATGGTGCACCATGACACACAGGCCTGAAGAAGGAGCTTGCAGGGATTCCCGTGCACCCTTTTGTCTCAGTGAAAGTCCGTTCAACCGAATCTGTCTTCCTTGTCTTTCGGTTTGTGTTCCTTATTTTTTCGACCATTCGGAACTATCGCGC